AATATCTCTGTGGATTACTTTGTTTGAGTGCAAATAACTCAAACCCCTTAAAATTTCCCTGCAGATGTATGAGATCCATTCTTCTTTGAGCGATTGCCCCTTGGTTGATTTAACTAAATCAGTCACAGATCCTAAAATAAACATACATTTTCATTACTAAATAATTCATTATAATAATGAATTAAATATGACTATACAAATATCTAAACAATATTAATACAGTGACTTTAAACTAGAAAGTTCATGAAATTTTACTGATAAGATAGTTACTTTTAACTTGTCTATTACAATATATAAAATAAAATCCATAACATAAGTATTTCAAAACTATTCTATTAAAATTTGCCAAAATGATCTTATACAATTAGACGAAGTAATTACAAAGTTAGGTACATAATATTCTAGCAACAACAAGGCTCTTTAAAGTAAACATTACCAATTCAAATGTGTGTTTAAACAATGCATTCCCAGGCCGGATTTTTAACAATTAACATTACTGTAAATGAGAAATGTAGAGATTTTCATTTCTGGTACTTAAAACAAGAAATCACATAACTATGATAGTGTTTTATAATTTAACATACAAATTGATCACCTTACACTATAAAAAAAGCTACTCATTAGGTATGGCTTTTAAATTTTGAGCTAATTTTAGAATTATCAAACCAAATAAAAATAGCCTTTGTAGAAACATTGAATAACAAATGTTCATTGTTTGGAGACAATAAATTTGTTGTTGGTGAAACAACAAATACATTGTTGTTTGTTTTGAATATATTTAATGTGTTGCATTTTGTGTAATTTCTATGGAATTACGGTTCTTAAGCGTTTGTATTACAACATGTTAAAGGGATGACATGTATCTACACAAATGTTTAGGCAGTGGAAACAATCAACTAACATTATAAGTATGCCTTATAATGTTAAAAATATGCCTTATAATGTATTATGAATACACACCAGCACCACAATATTCCATAACCAACCACAGTTGATCATCTTTCCCTGAAGGTGTTTTTTTAATAAATGCTCCATAATATGTGGCAATGTTGCGGTGGTTAGAGTATTTTTTTAATACATTGATCTCAAGCTTTATCTCCTCCTCTTCATCTTGTGTGACATCCATTACCTTGATGGCAGCAAGTTGACCTGTCTTTGTATGGCGGCCCTAAAATAAACATTTTATGCTATATAATAAATTTATACAATAATTCATTTTTTAAAGGCTATCTATAATCATTTCATTCATATTCTATTCTTTCAAATTGTTGACATTTAACAATTGCATTCATATTTTTATAACCTTAGTCCTATGAAGTTCTATAAAAAGCAATAAGAAATAGGTCACTTTCCTTTTATGACACTCAATAGACATTAATTCCCTTCATTAACATTAATAGTCAGTCTTAAATTGTACAGCTCATAAGGTCAACCAATTAGGACTAAAGTTTAAAATGATAATAGATAGGAAATAGAAATTTAACCAATTACTGATATGATTTATAATTTTATTTTGTCTATTTGGTTGTTTAAGGAAAACTAAATCGATCGAATTATGATATATGTATGTACATACATACCTTGTATACTTGGCCATAAGTGCCATTTCCCACAACTTCAATGAGCTCAAATATACCAGCTGGATCCTGAAATTGAACACGAAGGAAGTAGACACAGAATAAGAATCAAGAGCTAATTATAATCCTCAATAGTGAACCTTCAATATGATTCACGCCCTGTGAGATCATTGCCCTTTGTAAGGAGTTTTCGGCGAGAGGCTAGCTGCCGACCTAAATATTAATTTGATTTATTTTATCTACTTATATTAAAATAATTACCTTTAATGCACCGAGGTCAATGTCGTCTAATGAACAATTTACAGACGGTGCTAGTTGATGCGCCATTTTGAGTATATTGTCACACACGAAGACAAAGCACGAGAACCTCACATCAATATAAAAAGTGTATAAAAACTCCTAAATTATGACATTGGCGATGAGTTTAATATTATTTAGCTATTGAACAATTAAATAATTTATAAAACACATTGTTTACTATTAAAATTACAGTAAATTACAGATACACAATCCATGCACCGCACACACACCCGGCGGGGATACCACTAAAGAAATCCGATTGCTACCATTATAGAGTATTAATATAAGATGAAATTTTAAATGGCAGCACTGGAGTTTTCTACTTAATCCTACCGTTATTTTTAAAGTATTTGTTGATTTTTTTCAACATCATTATATAACGAAAATGTGTTTTATAATTTCGTTTAATACCAAATATAGAAGTTCATTTAGTTAGGAACTATTTATGAACGTTTTAATAATATTTTGTAAAGATGGATGGACGGTTAAATTAGTTTATTTTTGTATGTTGTGTATTCACTATTTTTTTAAGTAAAATTTGTTCTAAAAAGAAGTATGATTCTGATAATCATATAGCATTTGCTTTGATCTAATGATCTGTATAAATAGATAGGCCATTACGGGGAATTGTCCCTGCTCATGTTAATGACAGTTAACTCTTTCTGTTTTTAGTTTCAATTCACATCACCAACAGCAACCGCTACCATCCGCTCCAAAATGGCGAAAATCAAGTAGGCACAAATACCACATATCTTGTCTATTTATAGAAATCAGTGGACATATGCCTTAATATTAGTGTTGTTATCGTTTATCTCAACATGTATGTAGCTTAGTAGATATAAGAGTTCTACCTTTTGTATTTAATTACAATCATTTTATGCAAGAAGTGATCGTATTAAGTCTATTTAACAACGTTTCAATTTATTCGTAATATGTTCTGAAGACTAGACAGATGAGGAAGAGCTTTTTGGTACAAAACCTAGTAACTTCTAGTTAAATACTGCTAAACTATGAGTTACGTTTCAATTCTCAGTATTTCTTTTTTCTTTTAGTATCTAAGTCGCTAATGATTATAGTTTTTGAGTTATAAATAGTATTGAAATAACTCAAAAACTACTGGTCTAATTTCAACAATTCTTACACCACTAAAAACCTACGTTGTCACTGAGTAACATAGGCCATCATTTTTTTTTATTTTACGGGGACAAAGTCGCGAGGACCAGCTAGTTTAAAATATAAACAACATACAATAGTGATGGATGTTATACACAGGCAGCAACTGGTGCCCGTAACTGGCTGTCATACGAAAGCAAAAATGATTAATGCATTGCTGTTGATAAATTGGCAGACGCATTTTATTTTATACTTACCATTAATAATAAGATGAATACCGTACAGGGCCATTTCATGCTGCATTGCCAGTTTAAGAAATTGGGATAAAAAATAGCGTTGACATGCGCATGAGTAAAGTTTTTTCTAAGATCATTAATTAAAATGTGGTCAAGTGCATAATAAAATGCACATATGCAAACCACAAAATGTCATGAATTAGTAAATCAAATATATAAAAACCTATACTTACTTTTTTTTGAGCCAAACGTTTTCGAAGGCCTAATTTTAGTCCGGAGATTTAATTTTAATCCGGAGGCCTAATTTTAGTCCGAAGTCCTAATTTCTTATGAGGTAGGGATGGGAAGGTAACGTGGATCTGACGGTGGAGACGCGTAGGAAAATGAAATATCCTATTTATGTACGTCTCCTCCACCGTCGATTAAGGATATGCAACGTATCTGTAATTCTGGATATCTATGGGCAGCGGTCGCTTCGCCATTTCGGATCTTTCAGGTGGCCGCTTGCTCGTTTGTCACTTTATGTTATAAAAAAAAACAGTTGAACATTAGGTCAATTTTCACACGAAAAGGTGCCTAGATAAAATGACATAGAGCTAAAAATTGGTAGAGGTAATATTTAAAATACATCGCTTGGATGGTTGCGGTCCTGGTTGGGTTGGTTGTTTGTTGAATGGTTGGCTCCCTAGTTGGGTCGCCACTTGAGGGCCTCGCGGAGGACAACTTGCCTGCACCAAACTAGCTCCTGCTCCGTTTAGGCTACAAAAATTTGGCCTAGACGTAGAGGATAATCTGGAAGAACACATAGGCTACTCATTTTTGTTTTTTAATTCCACGCGGACGGAGTCGCGGGCGAAAGCTAGTCTGCTTTAAGTATAAAAAAAACAAATGAAAATAATAACCGTTAGAGTTATTATTTTTTTCATGTAACAAAATAGCGTATTAGTAAAATAGTTTGAAATGTAAAAGAAAGAAAACGATCTATGTAAATACAATTTAATAGAGAGAGTGATGCGTTCGTTTTTACCTATTTACTCTTAATAACAATTTTTAAGACACTGCGTAGTTACAATTATTGTAACAAAGAAATTGTTTGTCAATGGAAAAATTCAGCGGCGAATTCCAGATCTTCCGGATAGCCTTGAGTGTGAAAGTATTCTGTGCAGACTGTAATTAGATTTGTTTCTTTATTTTATTTACTTCTCAGGCAGAGCGTAGATTTCTTTCAACGCCTTAAAAGCGCGTTATGCAAAAGCTCGCAAATGTTTTGGTGGGAAAACGTTATTTCAAAGGAAACGTAGGAAGAGTAAGAAGTTGAAAATTCTTAAAGCAAAGATATACGTTAAACTATTCTGTACCGGTTTTTAGCCTGGTTTATGGCGCGCAGTTCGACGTATGTTATTGCACAAACATCAAACTAAAATTATTGACTAGATATTATAGAAGTAAAATACAGGCTCGGTGCTACGTGCAGCGGTGCGGCCGCGGCGGTTTGGCGGCGTGGCGGCGCGGCCGTGCATACCGAATCGTAAGATCAAAGCACGCATAGGTACTTTACCAAGTCGAACACCCACACGTATCCGCCACGTCGCGCGCGCCCGTGTGTTGGTGGAATAGAACACACAGACGCGGGCCCGAGGCAACACTAATAAAAGTATAATAAAAGTTACCGAGACAGAAGTGCGGTGTACGGTACTATTTGTTTGGAGGGAGGTTGGAGGCACTCATACGAGCGAGGGAGAGGCTGCGTCGGCGCGGGCGGCGGGCGGAGGGCTGCGGGCGGCGGGCGGCCAGTTTACCGTTGCGAGGCGCGTTGTGCGGCCGGACGCTGGACCGTCACCCGCGCGCCGCCGGCACCCGACACCGATCTGAGCAGCCTCGGCTTGCGCCCCGGAGCTTCCCTGACTTCATCGCACCCCCTGCCCTACTGCTATACACCGGGACTCGACAGTTCCCCGCTGTGCACACGACGGGTTGTTGACAAACTTTATATTCAAGTCTTGTTCTCTAACGTAGACGCGAAGTGCTACAACTCGTGCTTATTTCACTGAAGTGCTAATCCGATTTCTCATAGTTTTTGGATCGCATCCTCACTGGCTAAGGTAAGTCTTTTATTTTATAAATTGCACTGTAATGTTTTGGAGTTTACAAGATTCGCTTAGTACGTGAGGCTGTCGATACGCGAACCCACACACACATACATAATGTTAAATGACTAATACAAGTAGACAAATTCCAATTAGAATTTATATACAGCATGTATAATTTATAATATAAATCTTTATTAAAATTTAAGTAAAAATCTTTGTTCTTAAATGGTCTGTGCTTTATACTTTTCAAGGCTTATGGGATTTTAATTATTAAAGTAGTATTTCATTTGCTCCTATTTTATGAGTTTATTGAAATAAAAACAGCGATCCGAAAATACTTGTAAAAATAATTGAAATAAGATTAACATTTATCGTGCTGCAATCTTTGTTAGAAACGTTGTAAAGCGGCTGCCACATGTACACGAAATTCTTAGAAGCGTACAATACTCGTAGCTTAGCATTGGAGTCTAGCAATACTCACCTACTCCTTTATCACTAAGAGATTGATGCTTATTAAAAGAATTTGACAATGTCACTTATTGAGATAAGTTAAGACGATTTCCTGTTACTGGATATCAAAGCCACGTGTAAATTCATTTAGGAACTTATGAACCTAAATACTCTTAATAATATTATAGAAGTTTTTTTGTTGACTAAAAACTCTTGCTTGTTATTAATTGTATTATAGCCTTAGAAAATGTATGCAAATTAAGTTATAAGGGTTATTGCTGGTTTGATTATCATACATGTGAATGGAATGCTAATAAATTCTTCCTATCTTTAACCATGATAAGAAGCGGTATGCTTTTTTATTGATATTCGTTTGTGTAAAAATGCACAATACAAGGAAATAAAAATTATTTGATTATTAACGAATACTGTCTTGATAGTGTATTTAATTTAAATGTTGCAAATGAATAATTATTAACGTGTGTATGCGTTTTGAACTAAACGTGACGTCATTTATTTTTCATTTTACACTTTGTACTCAAATAAAGACAAAACGTAGAGAAATTTGGTGTTAAGTAACGATTTTCACACCATCTATTTTTATCGTTGGTACATGAAGATGATAACGTAAGAGTGTCTTATTCGATGTTCAATTATGTTTGCCTAATATTGACTAACATAAGCCAAGAGGTCGCTAACGGCCGCAAACCAATAATCGATCTTTAGGGTGTTTCGAAGATTTTTTTAATTACTAAGTATGGTTCGGAGCACAAAAATGGATCGCTTGCTCTGAATAATAGATCAAGTTATTCGAATACTGCTAAATTTAAAAGAGACGGTTTGAAATTATTAATTAAAAATACCACGGATGGGTAAGCAATACTTTTTAGATCAAATATAGGGATCATTGGTTTGGGACGTGTGATCCGTGCGTGTTTCTCACGTGCTTGTTTTTTGAGTATTACTACTAAGTGCATATACCGTAAACGACCTTTTTTGTTTTTGTTTAAGGAAGATTAATCTTGTAACGCTATGAAAAGAAGGATGTTACACAGGGTCAGTGACAACAATGGCAAGATGCTTGTTAACGCGAAGGTTGTACACAATATTGATGCAACTGATTAGCTTTTGGCAGTTCAGCAAATTATCTTATCACTTTTTATTGCAGTATAAAAACGGTTCTACTTGATTGCTTTGTTTGTCAATTCTTTTTATTACAGTTTTGTATTTGAAATGTGACGTGCGCGTTGATGTCTTTTCTTCTAACAATATGCTGTGTTCATATTTTGCTCTAGTATCGTAATTGAAATTTTATTTCTTTTATTTATAAAACTTCTTTTGATTATCAAAACTTAAATATAACAGGTTATTTTATTTAAAATAAAAATTAGAGTAACGGCAAAGAGCGTTAAAGTGTTAACTGTTTGTACATATTTTTATGATTCATGTCAACAAAAAAAAAAGTTTAGCAGAACATAGACGTATTAAACAACAATTTATGCTCAGTTTACAATTTAATTTATAGAAATGTGCGAAAGATAAATATTCAATTGTAACATAAGTAATTGTTTATTACAAACTCGTTGTTACTTTAATACTCTGTAGACTGAATGGAAAACTACTTCAATTGGGTTGTTCGTGCAAATATAATAATTAATCACTGTGGAAGTATGTAACTTGAAATATGAAGTTAAATACAATAAGGTTCTAACAGGCATTTACATTTAGCATCTAGCAGTAAGTTAAATGAAAATATGGACTCATTGCACAAAGAATAAAGTGACTCCGTGTATAAAATATTAAAACATAAACGAGCGTCAATTTATGCGATAAGCAAATGGATCGTTCTCAAATGCCCGTAAAGAGTTTACCTACGTGATTTAATAGCTCGGAAATTTAAACCATATTCAGATACGAGTTACCAAAACCGCTTATTTCGAAACTTATTACGATCATTTCAATTCTGCCGTTCCTTGCATGCACGAATATAACTCAACTACTAACTCGATGCTATCTTATTGCCTACTTTTAAACAATTAATATAATTGTAACTAGCGGATATTAATTTAAACACTGAACTAGAGGGTCCGCCAGGATGGCGCGCAAATCAACAACCCTTCCAATGACATTGACAGCTGTCAGTTAGAGATGTGACGTTTATGCCAATAATATAGTGTTGCGCCAATTCTACAGCGCGGTAATTTCTTCTTAACACGACATATATATTATTTAAATAAAAACATATAAATATAATTGACTTTTGCTCAACTAACGTGGTTACTTTTGTATCGAGTCTCAATTGTGGTCTTAAACAGTAATGTCAAATTCACCTTGACAAGTTTATCTTATTCGTCGAATCGTTATGAACCAGAAGTGCCAATAATAAATTGAATGTTTTATTTTTATTTAATGATAACTCTAAAGAAATAATGTATTGCATTTTTAAATATACTTCAAAATTAGATCTCTACAGAGACCTTGTAATTGAAATTTTCTTATTCGTATTCATTGTCCATTTAGGAACAAGAGCTCCATATTTATGAAAGCAAAAGCAGTTTTAAAGTTATAAATAGTGCCGACTTACATGAAAGGCGTCAAGCAGTCCGTATCGACAGCCTCTAGAGGTCGGCGTACAGTGACCGAACCACCTAAAATACAACACTATCCAGTAAAATTATAATTTGTTAACATGTATTTTATATTATCAGTGAAATAATTATTTAAGGTTCGGTTGGTAGTAAAGTATATTTAATAGCCTTTAATTATATTATATCGTTCGGTTGTACTAAAACATTTTATAGCTCGCTAATATATTGAGGTCATATCTTAATTAAAATAAAATTACTACGTTGATTGCAGAATTGCTCTGTCGATTACGTGCTTAGTTCGCCAGAAAAAGGATGTATTTTTTTATCTGCCTCTAGTTTAAAGATTAAAAAGTTCTATTGAAATATTATCTGTACAATATAATTCGAGTGTCTACGATATATTACTCGCAGTATCTTTGCTGATAGTTTCCTGATGTCACGTGTTGCTGACGGTACTGAGCAGACAAAAGCTGGACAAGACGTCATTAAAATGTACAAGCGGTAATGTTACGTTTATGAATATGTTAACTTATATGCTATCTAGGATCAATAGTCAAAGATTGTATTGATTGATTGAAAGTCAAGAAAGAAGTCTCATATACAGTCGGTAAGTTCATGTCGTATCAATGATAGAAATAATATGACTGTAACTATATGATTCAAAGTAATGTGAACATTTAATACTCATAAAATAATTGTTTTTCATTAACATATTTGTAATGTATTTCAAATGCACAGTAAATATAAATTGTTACATAAATTGAACACATTAAATAACTTTTTATGTTAACGCCAAAATACGTACGGTCAGCACATTATGAAACATAAGCCAACGTTTATTAATTAAAAATATTTGAAGCTTCTAATAAAATGGTTGTAACTATGATATTGATTTCAATTCTTTCCTCATTTTCTGAGAATCTGGTAGACATTATCTGAATTTTGTTACATGTTCGCATAAAGACAGATTTCTTTGAAATTCCCCTTATCAAAACATTGACTTTCCTGCTAATTGAATGACCGGCATTGTGCCTTGACCCTTTGTAGGTGTCGAGGCGCTAGGCGGAAGATTAGCGTTCAGTCGACCGCGACGCTCTCGGCTCTCCTGCGCAGAAAGTGTTTGTCCTTGCTCGCCCATTATGTTTGACCTTTGGCCCTGAAACTTAACCGACAGCCCCATTGCTCTTTGTTGATCGTTAACTTTAGACTATTTTTAGTGCTTACTCATTTGTTTTGATAAATTCTTTTGTTTCTGTATTATTTTGATCAATAAAAATACAAAAAATACTTTAATAATATTCTGGCAACGTAAGGTTGCCCGATTTGGTTCGAATTTTTAGAATAAATAAAGATTATATTTAATTATTAAGTTAATGTTGTGCGTGAATATTGCACAGTTACTAGATTTCAATTTATAGTTTAGCAGATGCAGTTTTGCTATCAAAACTCATTGGCGTGTAGGCAATTTGCGCGGGAAAACAAATGCGTGACTATTTTGATACATGACACGTAGATTTTGTTTTAAATCATAGAAAGCTGAGTACAGCGATCATTACTTTTATCGAAAGGAAATTGACTTGAGTTCAGTTAGCAAATTTACGTATATTGCTTATAATATGTGTTGGAAGATTACACATTCCTTGTAGTGAAAGTGTACTCTTGGTGCATGACACATGTAGAACATTTCGTATTCGTGTTCAATACGTCTGTGAATACTGTCGATGAATCTATCCCAAAGCTTCCAGTTAAATATTAAACATATTTGTCGTTTAATTAAAATTAATTTCCCTTCAGTATTCATCAGTTCATTATCTAAAATGTAAATCGTTAAATAAATCACTAAAACTTTAAATATGTAAATTCATGTCAAGCGGTTAATTAGAGATCTTTATTGGAATTCGATACCTAATAAGCGTACAGTGGACAATTTTATTCTTAGAATGACTTATTTTATTTTATACAAATATTTGTTGT